CTGGATGTACTACTGGGAGGTGGGAACAGTTAGAGGAAGAAGTTCCAGCATGGAACTGGAAGAGTCCATATTCTGCTGCCACCTCCCTCCTTCTTTCCAGCTGCTATGAGTTGAGCAGCTATCTTCTGGCATGCCCATCTGCCATGACTCTCTGCCTCTTGGCAGGCTCTGAGAAATGGAGCTGGCTTACTGTGCACTGAAACCTTAAGAAGCCAAAATCAATCTTTTCTCCTCTAATTTGTTCTTATCAGGTATTTGGGTCACAGTAAGCAAAATTAACATAAATATATTAACATTCAAAAWGTTTAATATACAAAATAATTGTCTGATAAATATTTTAAATAAATACGTAATTAAATATTGATTGCTGAGTTTTCAGTGTCCCTTTGTTTTAACAAAAGTAATGCATTAGTTTTTTTTTTTTTTCAGGTCTCAGGTATTTGTGTTGGCCCTTGAAAAAACTGACATGCTTATGCACTGTGCAGATAGTGTTTTATGAATAAAATACCCCTGAGCAAAGAAAGGAGTAGGTGGAAAATCAAGGGACCACAGATTAATCCCTTCAGTATGTTTGGATGCCATTGATGGGCAAGGCTTGCAAAATCAAAGTAGCATGGAAAGTTGGCCCTTGTTCACTTGTCTGATAGTAAAGTCATCATTTAGTGAACACTTACTATCTGTCAGGTACTATACCAAGTGCTTACATGGGTTATTTTGTTCAAGTTTTATAATAACCCTCTCTTTATAGATGAGGAAAGGCTGAGAGGGGGTTAACGCTAGCTTGAGGCCACACAGTTAAAGATTGCCAGGGCTAGAAAACCCAGAAAAATGACTRTTAAGTTTGTTCATCTATCTGATAGGAGAAGTAACATGAAGTAACATGATGGCTTTGTTGAGAAACTGAGGCCCTGTAARGTGAAATAATTTTCCTGAGACTGGATGTGAGTTTATGAAGTACAAGATTAGAACCTGGATGGTTCTCTGGGATCTCCGTCCACTTTTCTGCCTGCTAGGATACACAAAGTCAGCTGCAATTATCAACGACACAGTGCCTTTATTAGTTACCCATCGATCCATCATCCACCTAACATAGTGTTTTACAAATAATATGACTGAACCATTTTCTAATTTTATTATTGGAGCCATTATTGAAAACCTCACATACTTTGGCAATTTATTACACTGAGGTATCTCTGGAAGAAGAGGTACCCTTCCATYTCTCGGATAGAAACAATTATAGAACCCACAGTGCTGCCCTGTGGCCTCGATGCACTGGATTAAACTGAAGMTTAATCATAGTTACCTTATTATCCTCATGTTTAGATCTTGATCTCTGCTCTCAGCCATGACAATGACTTCTATTTCACCACCTCAATGTCTAGASCCCTTTCACTGCACACTGCCTGAAACACTTTTGGAAAGAGTAGCTGTGTATAAACAATCACACTCAGCCTGACTTCTGAAGGCATGCCACATGCGTATCCAAATCAAATCAAACCAAATTGCACCCATGGCTGCCTGCCAACCAGTGGAAGAAACAGGCCAAATAAACATGTAGGGAAGTGGGGCAAAACAAGCTGATGAAAACTAAAGTCAATGAACGACAGATTAAACTTTCACTTTTAATAAGTGGCAAAGCCAGCATTTGAACCCAGGAGCCATGTTCTAGGGGTTATGCCCTTCACTACTGCATCAGCTGCTTCTCGCAAGACATGCTACTAAAGTGATACACCTAGGAAAAATGGAAACTCCAGAAACTCTAATGCCTTGTTTTTGTTTAAAATAAACAGAGTTTCTCTTCTTTACCCTCTGAACCCCCAAAGTAAGTTGGTCAAAAGCAGATTCTTGGTAAAATTTGAGAATGTGGATGGATGTCTAGAGCATGAGCTTAGGGGTGTGTGTGTGTGTGWGWGWGWGWGWGWGAGAGAGAGAGAGAGAGAGAGAGAGAGAGAGAGAGAGAGAGAGAGCTGGTCACTGGGGCAGTAAGCCCCTTCCTGGGGGCAGCAGGAGAGAAAATACCCCCTTCTAATCCCTGTTGGGCTAGGGTTGAGTGTCGGCCTGGCATGGCTGAGCCCATCCTCCTCTCATTCCTTGGGTTGGTGGAGATACCTTGATAGGGAGATAGCTGATAAACTTGCCTTTCCTTCTTCTTCCCCTCCTGGTTGGCCAGGGGGGACCATTGTATGGGAATCTAGGAGTATCTCAGCTCTTGGGTCTTTGGCTCAGTTACCTTAGAGCTTTAGGCTCAGGCAGGGTGATCCAATGACCCAGTGCAGACAAACTGAGTATGTATAGTTGGAGTACTCCCCTACTTCAAATAATGTTGGTATCAAGACAAAATTCAAATAATACTTTATATCAAGAATCACTCTGTCATTTCTTTTACAAAATGTATCTGGGGGCACTGGGGTTGTGGCTCAGTGGTAGAGCACTCGCCTTGGATGTGCAAGGCCCTAGGTTTGATCCTCAGCACCACATAGAAAGAAATAAAGTAAAGTTATTGCATCCATCTACAACTCAAAAATAAATATTTTTTTAAAAAGTATCTGGGTATAGTTGCAATAAAAAGATATTTCATTATATTCTAGCAAAGCCCATTAGAGAGAAGCTCAGTGTATAGGGAAGAAAGGAACACCCATTTGGTGAATCTTTTGATGTTGATTTACTAAAAGCATTTCTAATAACATCTCCTGAATGAAGGCACTGGCTTAGGCTTTCTGCTCAGCTTTGTTGAGTGCAAGCTAGAAACTAGAGATTCCATGTGTGCTGTCAAATGACTATGCAATGCCTGCGATTTGGAATCCACAGAGACAAGTACTCGTCACATCATAGCAACTTTTTTGTCCCTTGTTCTCCAGGGAAGACAGGTTATTATGCTGTGTATACATGTGAACATAATAAGAAGAACTTCTCAGCCAAATCTGTAATTACAGACCTTTGAGAAAGCATTAAGATTCTGGCAATTAGTAAATTCTACATGACAAGAATTATTAACTGTTTTGGATGCAGCCAACACGTTTTTGGTAAACAGATTTAATGGACCAGTCACAATACCCCATTCAGCCTTATTTTGACAACACTGTAATTTACAGCAATCTAGGGTGGCAGCAGATGAACAGGCCAGGCAAGCCTCATGCTATGATTATTACCTCCCAAGAATAGCAAGGAGAAAGTTCTGGTTTATCACTGATGTGTGCACATGTATACCTGCACAGACCCACAGTGCACCTGTGGTAGTGGTATATTTTCCCTCCCCTTCCTTCCTTCCTTCCTTCCTTCCTTCCTTCCTTCCTTCCTTCCTTCCTTCCTTCCTTCTTTGTGGTGTGATAGCTTTCCTTTGACAGAAGATCTTACAATCTAGGAACCATGATTTCCATTTTTCATTTTTTTACCTAGATGCCCAATAGTGCATCCTGCAGAGAATTAGAAGCTAAATAAACCTAAACATTGACCATGAGTTAACCAAAGATAGTTTTGTGAAGAAGGTTATTAAAGCTGATGTACTGAAATGAGTGCTCTGCATTTAAACAAGAGAGGGCAACTTTACTACAAAAATTTCAGAAATTCTTTAGATAATACTTTCAGAACACCTTAATAAGCTATAGATGAAAAATGATTTCCTTAGTTTATAATTAAATATAATTTTTTAAAAATATATTTTTAGTTGTTAATAGACCCTTTTTTTTAAAAAAAAATTTATTTATATGCAGTGCTGAGAATTGAACCTGGTGCCTCCCACATGCCAAGCAAGTGTGTTACCTCTGAGCAACAGCCCTAGCCCCTCAAATATCAATTTTTTGGGGGGGTGGGTACCAGGTTTTGAACTCAGGGGCGTTCAACCACTGAGTGATATACCAGCCCAATTTTGTATTTTATTAGAGACAGGGTCTCATTGAGTTGTTTAGCACCTCACCGTTGCTGAGRCTGGCTTTGAATTCCCGATCCTCCTGTCTCGGCCTCCCGAGCTGCTGGGATTACAGGCAGGTGCCACCGCATTCAGCTTCAAATATCATTTTAAACACAGAAATTTGATCCCATTTGATCACACTGMTCACTTTCTCAAAAGAGTTAGTTTTGACTTTCTGTGGCAGTCCCCTGGATCAAATATTTTCCATTTCCTCTGAAGTTAAGTCCTCAGAGGCTTTCCTGCCTGTGTTCTTATGGGAAGCTTATGGTTTCTCAAGGAAACTCATGAGATGGAGTCAGCACGCATCTCAACCTGCACGCCTATTGATTTTCGGAGATCATTTATTCCTAGTCATTTCATTCCTTGGGCCATTGACTGAAATGCACATAGGCAAGCGAAGATGAAGACCCTGCAGACTCCAGGTGTCATGGGGAAAGAACAGCACTTCCCCTAATCACTCTGGGGCACRATGAGGCCCAACAGAACCGGGCTCTATAATGACTCCCAGGAGATTAAAACTTGGGATTTTCTCATAAACTTCTAGCACTCTGACTTCTACTTACACTCAAAGAATTAGATCAACTTAATTTGGGGACAATGCAATGCTTATTTGAATTTATGTGGCTAATAATAGATGTCCCRAACACATGTTGAATAGATATAGATTTGAACGACTTTCTCTGAGTGTCAAGTATATTCCTCATCATTACAGCAATACTCCTTTGGTTTTAGTTAACTACAATGATTTACTGGCAAATGTTTAACAAATTGGCTCTTGGGGTGATATGGGAGAACCTTGGTTTATCACCAGTGATTTAACCAGCAAAAATCCTGACAATTTATAATTAGCTGTCATGAGCCTATACTAGTGGTATCTACTTCATCTGTGGTGGTTAGTTGACCATGGACAAGAAAGAGAAAGATCCTAAAAAACTGGGTGGTGGGAACTGGAGTAAACAGGCCAGAGGTGATGGATGGTGTCTACTATGCAATTTAACCTTGAGTCACTTTGGATTTGGTGAATGGGGAGGAATGGGTGGGAGGCTGATGAARCATGAATAATGTCAATTTCCCTCTTAACCCCTGAACTCACCTCACTCCAGTTGCCCACTGTCCAATCCGATGGACACAGGATATCTCTGTTACAGGAAATGACGGCCTTGGGCTTCAGCAGATGCTGGCAGTCTGTAGCTGGGAGAGCTTGCTCATCAGAGCCCATGGTCTGAATGCACAACACTGTACGCTTCTTCTCTCCATAGGGCCCACATGTTGTGGAACATGCTTCCCATTCTCCTGCCCACCACCTGCAGGCAGATATGAACACTTGGGAAGATCATCAGACGTACCTGTACATCCATTTAACCATTAGAAAGAGAAAGCAGATGAGAATCAGAGATTACAGGACTGAGAAGTTCTTAGAATTACTTCAGTCTGCCAGGAGGTGTTCTGCAGACAGAGCCAGGTGATTTGTTCAAGCGTAGCCCCAGAGCCCAGCAGAACACTGGGCATAAGTATTTGTTAAATAGCATGTTTTTGAATGAAAAAAAAAAAAAGTCCTTTCTTTTCAGTCCAGAAAACTGAAGTTGCTGTGCAACTTCAAACAAATTGAAACCTGACTTCCTCATCTGTTAAAAAAGCGYGATAATATCAACTTTAAATGAGTGATGTGGATTAAATGAAATACCAATTCATGCAAAGTAGTATAGTACAGAACCTGGCATTATAAGAACTCCCATCATTTGTAATAATTTATTGATAATTTTACTGTGGTATTAAAAATTCCAATTAGTCTCCAGGTTCTTAATTGAATACTTTTCTATTTGAATAGGAGGCAGGTACATATACACCAATTCTTGTTTATTTAGGAAATGGTCAGTCAGGGACATTGCCTTCATTTTTGCCCTCCACCTCCTGTAATCTACTTGTCCATATTTTCATTGGTCCCTTTGAGAAGAAAGGAGTAGAAAAGGAAGAAACTTAAGTGAGATAATTTCTTACAGGTCAGCTGTTCTTAACAAGTTCAATAGTTAACAAGTTCAACTGTTGACTAAATTAATATGCTGGATTCCCTGAGGACAAACAAGCCTGTGTGTGTGTGTGTGTGTGTGTGTGTGTGTGTGTGTGCGCGTGCGCATTCTCTATGAGGGAATAGACTCATGATTCCTGGATATGGGCCCACTGGTCACATGAAGTGCTTTTGAAAATGGCAGGCAGTTCTCCTGGGGGCCCTCTCTGTTTTCCCTTCTCTATCATTGTGAGAACTTTTCCCAGTGATGAAGACAGAACAAGTGTAGTCTGGGTCCACCATTGTTTCCATGGGCAGCCTGGTTCTTYATACCTTCATATGTAATGAAGTGGGATATTTCTATTTTTCCTGGGAAAAAAGCACATGGTGAGAAATCTTTCATTCCTGACCTTGAGATAGTATTGAATTTTGTTAATTCAGAAGAAGATAAAATTTTGTACTATTATTTTTGTTTGCTAAATATTCGATTGATTGGGGGAGACTTTTTTTGATTCTCATACTTTTAGTCTCAAGTTAAAAACAATTTAAGAAAGTTAAAATCGATTGATTTTATTATAGTCTTTAGCTAATAAGTAATTAAGATTTCTTATTTATCCTTTGAGATTTAATATTTAGTTGTCTTATGTGGATAAAGAGCTACTAGGGAAGTATGATGTGAAGTAAATAAATGCCCACTGTATTAACCTAATTATTTTGTCTTACCTCTGACATTTCCAAGGGAGGCCAGGCACACTACTGAATATTTAAAATGTCATTCTGGAAAGCTCTTAATCTGAACTGACTGAAAACCCAATTTATCTAATTACTTGCTATAGAGATTTCAGCTGTGTCATCACAAAATGATAATGGATGTTCTTGCTTCTCTCCCCGGAACTCCTCCAAAAGTCCCCTACAGGACATTTTGCATGTGCATATGAATATGTCTCCCCAAATCCATGTGTTGAAAACTTAATCCCCAATGCAACAGTGTTGGGAGGTGGGGCCTAATGGAAGTGTTTAGGAATGGATTAATGCCTCTGTCGACTTTGGGAAAAAGGTTTGCTYTTTTGCTTTTCTGGTATGTGAAGACACAATGCTTGTCCTGTCTTGCCCTTCTGCCTTCTACCATGTGAGGCAAGAACAAGAAGGCTCTCACCAGCTCAAATGCTGATGCCTTGGTCGTGAGCTTCCAGTCTGTAGAATTGTGAGAAATAAATTTCTGTGCTTTGTAAGTTACTCAGTCTACTGGTATTCTGTTATAACTTATAGTAGCCCAAACCACATTAAGATGGTTTGTCAGGTCCTGTCTCAAAGTGAAAAATAAAAAGTGATTCAGTGCTTTAGTGCCTCTCGGTTCAATCCTTGGTACAAAAACAAAACAAAACAATACAAAAAACCAAAAACAAAACCAAAAAACAAAACAAAACAAAACAAAAAAAAAACAAAAAACCCCAGCTCATCAGTGGTTTAAAGTGAAAACCACCTCCTTTTTTTTTTTTTTTTTTCCTGCAAAGGTCTTCCAGGCCCAGGTCTCAGGAGCCATTGTCAAGTTGCTGTCTGTTGTCTATCTCATTCTTCTTGATCTCTGCCATAGCCCCACCTCTTCTAGGAGATTAAGAACAAAATTGTATTTTTATGTTTATGGGAGATTTTATATTTATATCTATAGAACATATATGGTTAAAGTACTCAGCAATTGTTGAAATATGCAAAGAATTCAGGGACAAAATACCCAGCAGAAATGTTTATTCTCCCTTAACAAGACAACCCTTCTGGTTTAGTCAACACGGAATTAACAGCAAACTAACCTGACTTTTCTGTTTTTGCCATTCATCTTTCTCTAACCAGAATGCCAATGGTACTGACAAAGAATCTCTTCTTGACTAAACTAGTCAGGCTTCTGGATTCTCTCCTAGGCCCAATATGTGTATTATTTTGTTAAAAACCCACTTTTAGCAGAGAACCCTGCTGAATCAGTTTCATAAGAACCTTCYGCTCTAGATATCTGATCACCTATCATATCTGATTGGGCTCCTCATCCTTCACCATTACAGAAATATCTGATCACTCTGATTTATTTTTGGTAAGAATTATTAGGTCAGTTTAGCCCRAATCCCTTCTTATCCCTGATTTTTTTTCTGAATATTTTCCCTTCCACTGATCCCCACCCTRCACCTTGTGGTTCCTGTCTGTCCATGTCCCTGTTCAGGCCAGTCTCTTTCCCACTGCAAAATCCCTATACCTACCACRATGGTCCCGAATAAGTTTTCTTACTATATTTTTACCAAGTATCATTGAATAATTTTTTCTTTAATAATATCCAACACAACTGGACAAATGATCAGACATTGACTATATTGTTCTTTATCCACTGAACACAAGTTGAACTCTTCCCAATTATCATGTAAAAGTCCTAAGAACTGGTACTCTACCACTGATTCTCAGTGTATCAATCTGTGGTCAGCTTTAAAAAGTCATGTCCAGGAATGATTGAAGATTCAGAATCTCTTGAGGCAGGGCATTGGTGCTTTCTTAGAGTTTCCTGATGACTTATTTGAAGTCAGGGTTAGAAACCACTGTTGTTTCGGTACCAAATAAAGGGATTTAGCTGTTTGTCTCTAATTTATATTTCTCCAAAGAATAGACTCTGTCGTTTTATAATGCGTAATGAATAAATAGAAATGTGTATCTGTGCGTGTGTGCGTGTGTGTGTGTGTGTGTGTGCGTGAGAGAGAGAGAGAGAGAGAGAGAGAGAGAGAGAGAGAGAGAGAGAGAGACCCTTGAAGAACTTGCAGTTGTCCTGGGAAAGTTCACTTCGGATCGAGTTCCTCCCGAGATGAAGTAGGAGGGCTGGGGTGGAGAACCTCTGACCCTCTCTCTTATCTACCCCTTCTACCCATTCCCATGGCAGTGCTGGCTTGGTAGTTCAGACTGCCAGAGAATCAGGTCACTTCACTCTAACCTTCATTACTCAGATAATTGAAAGGCCAAGTTTGAATTTGTCATATTCTTACTCAGAAAGTAATTTTCTTAAAAAAAAAAACCTTTAATAATTGTCATCTTTTTTGTACTATTTTTTCTAATAGYATTTACACTTCAACATCCAATTAATGAACATTCTAAATTCCAGCAAAACCACCATTCCTATAATAAGCACCCTCCCCTCCTCACCCCGTCACAGCTTGTCTTCATGTTCTGAGGACATCCTGCTCCTCCAACCTCATTTGCCCTAGCTTTCTTGTCCCTAACACATGCCATGTCAGCCCTCCCTTCTCTTTTGTGGGCGTTCCCTGGTCTCAGTGATCCTGTTCATTTATTTAGATCAGAAGTTCTCAACTAGTGGAGAGTCCCATACTCCCTCCCCAGGAGTGGAATGTCTGAAGACATTTTTCATGGTCACAAATGAGGGTGGGGTGCTATTGACATCCGGTGGGTAGAGGCCAGAGGTGCTGCCAAGCCGCCTATAATATACAAGACAGCCCTCCAACAAAAGGAATAATCTAGGCCAAACTAGCAACAGTGCTGAGCTTGACTTAAATCATGTGCCATTCTCTAGTACATTGAAAGCTACATGCAGCTGCCAGAGTTGGATGAATTGCTATCAGATGTTTATTGAACACTTTGGAAACGCTGGATGCTACCACAGCTGTAGAATTTCGGAGGTTTGCTTTGCTGAAAACCAAAGTTCAGAGAGAAGTCAATAGGGAGAAGAGACTCAAATGACCTCTTTCTGCAGTCAGATACACTTTAATTCCAAAGAATTTCTTTCTTGATAGGCTTCTCTATCCTGGAACAGGCTATGCAAGGCTTTTGTCCTGAAAACCATTGGCAGCAGGGTGCATATTTCTTAGGTTTAGATAATCAAAAGCTTTTATTAAATCTTTTTTAAAAATCKGTCTTGAAAATTCCTTTGGGGAACAACACAGTATGTTGAAACTGAATGTAAAAACGAGAATTCTAGATAGGGAAGAGGGGAGGGAGGGCAAGTGAGGAGGCAGGGGATTAGCAAGAATGGTGGAATGTGATGGACATCATTATCCAAAGTACATGTATAAAGACACGAATTGGGTCTCAACCTACTTTATATACAAACAGAGATATGAAAAATTGTGGTATGTAAGTGTAATAAGAATTATAATGCAAAAAAACAAGTACATGTATAAAGAATGAATCGGCATGAATACACTTTATACAAAGGTATGAAAAAYTGTGCTCTATATGTGTGATAAGAATTATAATACATTCCGCCRTCGTGTATTAAAAAAAAATTAAAAATAAATAAATAAATAAATAAGAATTATAAGAAAAGTGAGAAACAAARAAAGCCTTGTCCATGAAATCTCTGGGGAGGAGGAGTGACAGCTCTGAGTGGTAAGTAAATATGAGCTTTTCAGATACCATGGAAATCAGGTGTCAGAGGAAGATGTTGCCACTTGAAATTTGTATCCAAGGAAACGAACTGCTAGGCTAAGTTTGTAAAAATAAATACTATTAACAGAGCGACCTTCATTTATTATTTATTCTTTAAAAAGCAAATTAATTTTATTTCTTTTATCTAATCTCTTTGTGAATTTACATGCATGGCTTAGTTCTGGGGCCAAATTTTCTGGCTTGTTCACAAATTTTCATTGTGTTTTAATGGGAGAGGAATATTATAAATTTGTGGCGGGTTCATTCTCAACCTTGCTCATCCTGAGATCCTGGGCAGCAGCGTGGTATGGTAACATAAGCAGTGGCTTCTCAGCATGGATGGATCTGGGATCCAATYCAGACTCTACCACTGGTAGCCAAATGACTTTGGAAAACTGGTGAAGGCTTTGTGTGCTCCCTCATTGATACACTGAATGCAAAATATCTATCAATAAGGCTTGCTGGCAGGATTAAATAATATGGAGTATGGAAAGGGTTTAGAAAATATTGTGTATTTAAAAAAAAATGGCTAATTTATTCTCAGTCCTTACCCCGAAGGCATGACATCAAATTTCTTTGAAAAGTCATCACCTCATATACCACAGGTGGGTGGGGTAATATTCACCCTCTGTCTCCTGGTTACTACATAAATACCTGGGGAAGCTGAAATCAGCCATAAATAAGAAGGACTTCTGAAAACTAACCATTGTATCTGGCCATTTCATGAAATTTTATTTACGTTATCATATTTTATTTTACTGCAGAACACAGTTCTAGAAATCATGTCTGCATGTTTTGTGTTTAATTAACATTCTCAGGAACTGAAATCTTTGACCAAGCATGACAGCCTCACCTTTCAACAAAAATGTTCCACACAATAGAAGCAGGACACAGACTTTCTAATTGATACTCTGCTTAAAGTTTTAGTCCAGATAAATTAATAAAATAATAGGGATTCGGAGACGGGAGTATGAGTATATGCATACAGCATAAAAACAAAATAAATATAGGAAAGATAAAAAATGAAACACATTATTACTATATATATACATATATATATATATATACACAGTAATATATATATATTATGCATGCATATATATATATATATATATATATATATACACTGAATGACCAATATGATTCTGCAACATGTACACTCAGAAAAATAAGAAATTATATCTCATCTTTGTATGACATATCAAAGTGCATAAATGCATTCTACTGTTATGTATAACTAATTAAATCAAATAAAAAATTTAAAAAAACAGAATTTCAATACAATTTAGCTGGCTGATGACAAATAATCCTCTATACACAGATATCATTGATTTTAAATATAAATGTGTAAGTATGTATGAATGCCTCTCTCTGTTTGTGTGTGTGTGTACACACCTTGGGTATTAAAAACAAGGGCAAATATTTAACTTTAAGGGTTACAAAGACACCCCTGGGATCATTAATATCTTTCTGAAAGCTGTGCCTTTAGTTTGAGATGTGAATTGAGTTGATTCAGGCTTGATCTGCTAATTTTGTTGATCCTTAATGACCACCAGCCGAGGCACTGGCATTAATCTTATGCAAAAATAGCCTCAAAGAAACTCAGACATTGGGAAATAGCTGCAAACAGAAGAAAAGGAACTTAAAGCAACAAAACAAAACAAAACAAAACAAAACAAAAAAAGCAAAACAAAAAAAAATGCTCCCAAATGGTGAAGATTTAAAAACTTGTCAAATTGCTTCCTCTTTGCTCTTCTTCCTTAAGTATAATCTCTAGCTTGTTTGAAGGGAGTTGGAGGAAATTATGTTTCCAACATGACATCAGAGGCTGGGGAACAGGATGAATTGTTTTCCTYCCCTGCAGCATGATGATGTAGAAGACAGAAGGTGGAGAAATAGTCATCATCTCACCAAGAAAACYTGGCTCTGSATGCTATKTCGGCATGGTTGGGACTGCACAGTGGCTGTCGGTTGCCTGGCTCCCGTGTGTGGCCATCAGCACTTCCATTCTGACTACCTGGGTGTCATGACTAATTTTATGAGAGGAATCTGCATAAATGGTCTATTTCAAAAGTTTGCTCTGGATCCACAAGCTATATCCATGAGCTCAGCTTAAGAAGCGAAGCTGGAGAAAATGGTATCACTGACCTTGTTCTAAGGGGCTGCTCTTAAAACCAAGAGATGAAGAGATGCCAGTTAGCCACAAAGGCTCAAGGAAGGCTAGATCCTGTGATCAGCAGCAGGAGGCAGGGCCCTGGAGAAAGTACCTGACAGGTCTTACCTTGCCAATGCACGTGTATCTTGTTTTGCCTTCTTGACTGTAAGCTTCATGTTATACAGTTTGTTCATATGCCCAAGAAATTAAATATGAATTTTTCATTTTCTGAAGCATCTCAGCATATAAGGGAACACTTGAAAACCAGACATGTTTGTATAATTCGAAAAAAAAAAATCCTTTGCTACCCACCCCCAAGAAAACAGCTTTGGAGCATCTGTGACCCGGTGGTGGGATCTCCTCTGCTCTTCCCTTGCTTTTGTATTACCTTTGCATGAAGTGGCCTTTGTGCCCTGTGGCTGTTGTAGCAAATTGCCACAAACTTGGTGSCTTAAAACAACTGAAATTTAATCTCTTATAGTCCTGGGGTCCAGMTGTCCAAAATCAGTATTACCAGGCTGGAATCCAGGTGTCAGCAGGGCTGTACTCCCCCGGAGGCTCTAGACCTTGCTTTGCCTCTCCAGTTTGTGATAGCCGACTGCATACTTGATCATGGCTGCATAGCTCCAACCCTCAAGGCCAGCTCTCTCTTCACATCACCTTTCTTTCTCTCTCTCTCTCTGTGTTGAGTTTCTGTTTACCTCACAAGAACTCCTGTGATGGCATTTAGGGCCCTCCTGGATAACTAGGAGGCCCTCTACATCTCAAGATCCTTAACTTAAGCACATCTGAAAAGATCCTTTTCCCTAATAAGGTGACACAGGCTCCAAATACTAGGATGTGGGTGTCTTGGGGCCATTTTTCAGCCTACCACACTATTGCATTGAGGGGCAACTGCCAAGGCACAGGGCTAAGCCTTGTCACTTAGGGATTTCTTTATCTCCTCTATGTCTACCTCTAGGATGGGATTTAGCTTCAGCTCATCTCCTGTCCTCCAGTCTCTGCAGTCTTGTTCCAACAGGTAGCTCCCTCTGGTGCCCCAGCTGTACCTTATCCTGYTACCACCAACTAGAAAGTTCTAGTGATGGGAGGGTAGAGGTAGGAAAAGACAACCATGATTAAGGGAAGTGAATTCTGAAAATACTGAAACCAAGTTTTAGTAACAAATGAATGATAATATGCCAATGCCTGTCTTGTCCTAAACATGGAGCTGGTTTTGAACCCACAGCCTTTTCATGTGCATAGTTGATATCCCTGCTTTCCTCTCCTCTCTGCATAGAAGGCAAGCACCTGCATCCGGGTCTTTTGGTGCCCACCTCCCTGAGCACAGTGCATGCCTCACTAGAACACAGCCCCAATAAGGGGAGATGTGCATGCCTCTCTTCAGGGGGCCTGTTGTGTATAGCAGACAGCACAGACTCTAGAGACATACAGCTCTGGGTTCAAATCTCTGCCTTCTACTAGTTTTATGCTATTGAGTGAGGAAGAAAAAGTTTCTTCCTCTGGAAAATTGGCATTATTATTATTATTATATTAACTATTATTATAGTTAGCTGAGTAGTTGTGAAAGATAAAGAGAATACAAAAGATGTTTCTAACACATGGCCAAGAATAAAGTATGCGCTCAAAAACTGGCAAAAAGTATTTGGTTTATACCACATTGCATCTCTCATGAGAAATAGTAGATGCTCAACAAATATTGGCTGGTAATATAAGRGCCAAGGCAGACTCTATCAAAACATAAAAAAGAATGTAAGCCTCAKGGATAAATTGTTTTCAGGAAAGAAATAGCTTTGATTTTAAGAAGGTGGCCAGTCCAACAAAGAGTGGTTTTGAAAAGTAAGAAAAGATTCCCAGGCATTAGTGCAGTGGGTGCTATCTGATGAGTGTCAAGGGAATTTATTGGTTGGTAGAGGCTCAYTAACTTTGAAGGAAAACAAGTACAATGAAAATGCAGAAAACTTTTGGAATAGTSGGCTATCTTGAACCAATGTGGTTAGCAAGTGAATATCTCTATAACAATRGTTCTCAACCAAGGGTGATTTTGCCACCTTGAAGACACTTGGCAATTTCAGCCTGTCTCAACCTGGATTGCATCCCTCTAAGTGGATGCAGGCCAGGGATGTTCATAAGCATTCCTACAATTCACAGGACAGTTCCCACAACAGTCTTTCAGCCCCCAAGGTCAATAATGCCAAGGTAGAGAAAGCCTGCTGTCTAAGTCCTGTCTTCCAGCTCATCTGAAGTATGAGTGGGCATGGTGATCTGAAGGTGCCAGTTCACACTGAAGGSTACATTTGCATGGTAAAGTGCCCTTGGAAAAGCCAAACCCATTAGTTAAAAACTTGTGGGTAAACCACAAAGAATTCTCTTCAGCAAGATTTAGTCTTACAAAACAAACAACCATACATCATCTTTTTAAGAAATACCATTCTCTGGGAAGATAACGTCCTCACAGCTAGCCACAGGCTGCAATAGCACAGCCTCAGAAAATCTCACAGTTTTCCTGTATCTATTCTGACCAGCCCACAGTCCTCTTGTGTCACTGAGCACTGGATTACTGTTTAATTAGAGTCACTGTAAACAGATATGTATTGCTCCAGCTCTGTGTTATCAGTGGTTACCTGGGTGGACAATCCTTTTCATAGCACTTCTTTTGTCTCCCATTGGGCTGTTTTTCCGGGTTGCAGAATGTAGCTTTCACCACCCCGTGGCCCTTCTTCACACAATGGGCAGTCTGACGGCGGATACCTGGGGGTCAGACAGAAAGATCCATACATCATATGGAATTCTGAGTGTGCCCTGTCTAAATTTCTAGCCAATAGAAACTGTGAGTATGATAAAGTAAAACTGTCCTAARTTTGGGGTGGTTTGTTACATATGGTAGTAGCTAGAGCAGCACTTGATTAATGTTGACTTTCATCCTTTTCCTAGAGCTACAATTCAGTGTGGTTTGCTAAAGTCAATCCACTATTGATTTCATCAACTTTTAATTCCTTCTCCTGTGCTGTGGTTCTTCTATTTTCCCTCCAGATCTACTTTGCCCCTTTCTTCACTTGGCTCCRAACCTCATGGAACCAGACCTGTGGTTAGTTCAATTAGGACTAACAGTCCAGTTAGGTTTGGGAAATGGAGGCACTATTTCTATTTAAATGCTGTTTCCCTTAATTTTTCAAGCCYAGGGGTGGTAGCCTGGTTTCCCCTAACTGCACTGTTAATGGGCAGGAATAATTACTCACCTTTCTTCGTTTTCCTAAACCCTATCCATTCCCTTAAAAGTAGCTAAGGTAGACAGTTTGGGTGTGCTGTTTCCTCTTGGTGCCCTTATGTGATAACAACATTATAGGAAAAAAACCTCTAACTATTAATYTTCCGTGACATAGTCATTAGATAACTTTGAAAACCAATTACCAGAATAACAATCTTTCTTTAACAGGATATTTTAATAACCTACTATGACTGGGGTTAGAATCGGTCTTCCTTTTAAGGGCAGTTATCATTATATAAAGCTACAAATGCAGAAAGTGTAASAGGCGAGGTTGAATCTATGTGACCTTGATCTTCCCCTGGAAAGTAAAGAAAGAAGAATGATGTTGACTTTTTATTTGCCTTTCCATCTGCCTCTTATTCCTTCAAACAGATAACAGCTCCCAAAGAAACCCTACCTAATTAAGGATGCCAGTCAATCAATATGTTCAGATCTAAGTTAACTGCCTCTCTGAAAGTACTTACTYGAAGAGACATGAAGTAGAAATCAATCACATGGAAAAATATATGAGAATCAAATTCAAAATGCTACTTCCAGAAGTTTAAGCATCCCTTTCTCTATGTGGCAATGAGAATGTGGCTACATGTCTGTAAGAACTTGGTAAGTCCTGCTGGACATCAGCAGTAACAGGTCCAGTAAGTGCCTTGACTTGTAAGAACTGTCTCCTTATACTGTAAACCTGACCATCTTGAGTGGAAATTGTTGTGTTGAAAGAAGTAACAAGTAAAGTTCCTTATGTAAAACAAACAAACAAAAAACCCTCAACAATAACACAGTTCATCATATTTTGAACTTAATATTTAGATGATAAAATAGAGGGAATCTGTTATATGGTTCATTTAGTTTACATGAGCTTTTCTTGATTCGGAAGTTCAATTTAGGAAGGGTATAGATAAAACAGCTTAAGACTTAGGTTATTGTAATGAACTATGGAAAATTCTCCTAACATTGGATATAACATTGMTTTTAATGTGAAATGTCAACAATTTTGTGATTGAACAGAGAGGTTGTCGCTTACTACAATCCCCCTAAATACACAGAATCAACAGTAACTTTACAGGACAAAGTCGAAATTRTACAACCATCTGTATTGCTGACTAGTGTACCCTCAATCTACCAAATTTCTATTTTAATTACCACTAAACATTTACCTT